TACAATTAATATCTCGATAATTATCGCAAAACGGTATAGGACTTTTATGTTCACCTCAACCTGTTCTACGTCCTCACAAAATGTCCGGAGGAGAGTGTGAGACACCCTGTATGTATATGTATATATATATATATATATATATATATATATATATATATATAATATATATATATCATAATTTAAATAAAAAATTTAGACCTAACTCGAGATAAAAATCTGAGAATCTCACATAAAACAAGTTAACAATTATTAATATAGGCCTTTGGAGGAAAGAATTTTCAATCTATATGAAAGAAAATAAATACTCGAGTTTCAACATCTCTGTGCATCCGAGAAATAACGTGCATTTTTCAACTATTAACTTTGGCCTACACCTTTTTCTATCATCATTTCTATCATTATATCTACTTACTACTACTTCCATTATTATATCAGATTTAACCTCATACGTTTAGCTTCGACTGATAACGTTGCATCATGGGATGACATGAGAGACCACATAATGAGTAACGGTGTATTTCAGGTAATAAGTAACGGTATTTCGGATTAGCGTAAAATTTAGTTAGGAATGTGGCCTTATTTATGGCAATCGCGTAGGTTGACTCCTAATTAGACTTGTCGAACCGGCGGAGCGAGGCGGCCGATATCTCGATACAATTGTCTCGAGGCAAATATCCGAGACTAATCGAACTGTGTCATCGGTTGATGTGACGTGCACGCGCGGACATAAATGATCCGAATGATCTAGTTCTTCAAGGATGCAAGTGTTCAGCGGCGCGTCCGCGTCGTACGCATATTAATTGTCGCATAATGACACGCTACTTGCGATACCATGTTCACAGCGAGCGAGCGAACGCGTTGACGCGCAAAAGAAATCCTCGTACTTTCACCCCGGTAGAACTAAATAACGCAATAATTGCGTCTCATGTAGGAAGTCGCTTGATCATTTTCTTGTTTATACGCAGCCAAATGCTACATAAGTGCGTTACCGAGCGTCATTAACTTTTAACTCTCTGCATGTGAAAAAATTTGAATCCAGTGTATCTGCCAGCTCACAATAGATTTTTTACCTCTTCTTTATGCAAAATATATTGAAAAAATTGACAATTTTTATATGGAGAGGATATATTATATTTTCCTTTTAATAAAAAAAAAAATAATAAAAATTCCTTTTAATAAATGCTTTTTAATGTTATCATAAATGTTATTATATTATTATTTAATAATTCTTATTATTTAGAGAACGTGACATTTTTTCATATAAATATTTTTTATTTTATCAATTTGATTGATGTTTCTGCGTATAAACAAGAAAACGATCAAGCGACTTCCTACATGAGACGCAATTATTGCGTTATTATAAATGTAAAGTGACTATGTAAATTTAGTAGAAATTTACATAGTAAATTTCGCTAAAAAATATATAATAAATTTATATAGTAATTTTGTATAATATTATATTTTGTATTGCAAATTTATATAATATTTATATAGTATATAGTACTTAGTATATAATATTTGTCACGATTTTTATATGCATTTATTAAGTATGTGATCTCCGAAAAAGTAAATATTCAAAACACTTAATTATTATTCTCTCAACTTCGGCAACTGAGAGCAAACATATAAGAGTGCAAAGGGTTAAGTTTCCCTTTTCACGAATAACCAGTGCGATTTACACTTACACGATGCATGCGCTAAATGAAGCTTCATGAGCATGTAAATTTTACTCACCATTGCGCGTCGATGCTCAACGACGACCAGCCGTTTAGGTCCAATGACGAAGCCCACCGCAGCTCTCCCCGACTATCGTCGGGGATATACTTGTCCTAGCATTTGACCTATGTGCAGCCTCCTCAGCATCCAGCCGTCCCGCTGTCGAGTTCTACGTCGATCGCTCTTCATACACTTCACTGAACTACATTGCACTCGCGACCGCGATCATCGTAACGACGCATGGCGACTTAACGGAAAGTTAAGTCTGATCAATCCAACTGCTTCGGAAATATACTCGCGAGTCGCCAGTCGCGTGCAAACAGTGAACGCAGAGCCATGGCGTCCTCGACAAGGTCGTGAGAAAAAAGGAAACATGACATTCCGCTTATGCTCCGTCAACAAACGAGGTTCCCGTTTCACGAGAATTCTACTTTAAAAATAAATACACATACCGAACCTAACAATAGTTCTAGCGCATTTATTCGTGGCGCTTTATAATGTCACATTGGTGACGTATATTCGTGGCACGTATCACGTATAGAACAAAATCGACAGCGAAGTCCATGAAATTAAAATTCGTGAACGAAATAATCCACGCGAACGCGAATCGAAGATTAACCATATTTACTACGAGATCCGTCAGCGCGATGCCTAAACGAAGATTCCCAGGTGGCGTAAGTCTATCACGCACATGATGGCAACACTTGCACAAAGATTGCTCTGCGACATTGCACAAAGGCGACTCCGCTATGTCTCTGCGAAGCTTAGGGCCCTTGCAGAATGCCAGGCAACAGGCAATAGGAACAGCCAATAGGAACAAGGAATAAAAATACAATTATTTCTGATTGGTCAATACCAATCAAAATTTCTATTCTCTGTTCCTATTGCCTGTTGCCTAGCATTCTGCAAGGGCCCTTACTTCCACGGGATGTTTCTAGAATATCACTACGAGTTTCATAAGATCCGCATTTTTCCTATAACATAACGCATGAATGTAAGAAGTCGAAATTTAGAAATTGTGCACGCGTGCAAACTTCAATCGTAGATATTTTAAAAAGTTTCTGTTTCTACAACGAACGAAATTGATGCGTAAACGAACACACAAGAAAACTCTCGGTTTCACTCTTACGACTAATATTTTCACGAAGATACATTCGACCGTACTATGCATAGAATCCACTTGACGTTGCGAATGCTTCGAAGCGTCGCATTGGCTAATCATAAGATGTAATTCATTACAAATGTATCGAAGCGCAATTGTAGCATTTCTTTCAGCGCTTCGAAGCATTCGCAGCATCTAATGAATCGCATCTATAGTCATTCTTTACACGATCCAAAACGTTCGTAACATTGAGTAACCTCATAACCTATATCTCGGGCGTAGCGCTCTAAAAAAAACTAAGAACGAAATCTCACACAAAGATGACAAAATCAGTGTAAATACGCGTACGCGAGAAATTTAGAAAATTAATAACTATAATATCATGAAATCTCAATGCGAAGTAAATAAAATCACGATATATCATAGAATACAGAGAAGTGCATGAACTAACCTTCAAGACAATTCTGCCCGAATCCAATATTTCAATATTGCGTCTGTATACACCGGGATGCGGCAGCTTTCCGAATGCTGCCGCAAACTTTGCCAAATCGAAAACAGAAAGTCATTTTCCTCAGTTACAACAACAGGAGAAGTTGCTTGGTTTCGACAAGCATGGAGAACGTGAAGATATTCGATATGGAAGTAAGAAAAACATAAATATGAAACTTGGCAAAGTTACCTTCTAAACATCGTTATGCTTCTTTCGCGCAAGATTTCAGCATAATCGTCACACGTGCAAACAATTGTTCTCCCGCCCGCGTCTTTTGACGTCCAAGTTGCCTTTGAAACACACTGCTTATTATTGGCTAATGTTCGAAAGCATATACTTTAGTATCTTTCCTTACTTTGCTTTGTGAGACAGAACAGAGTAGAACATGAAATACTTAAATTATAAAGAGGTATACCTCTGACTCGAAATACCTCGAAAAACCTCGAATACTTTTTCATAAGCACTCTGTGTCTCTACTGTGCGTTCATATTTTCCTTATTACATATGCCTATTACAAGAGCTAATCAGAAATCGACCACCGGTGTTTGACTCTGGGCTGCGTCATCCAAGTGTACCCGTTACGTTGGAGTGAGCGAGATACAAGAGTGAGATAAAAAAAGAGGAAGAGTACTCGAGTGACGTTTCCGAACGCAGCCCTAGGTGTTTACGATAATTAGTGTTAGAGTTAGTTTCACTAGGGCCGAAAATTATGATAGGCACGACCACCTACGACCAAGTACTTTTGTAGTTTATGACAACTTCTTCTAACTCAATGTCTTACCATAGGAATAAGCTGGAGTAAGAAATAAAGAACGCGTATTCGACATCAAGTAATAATTTCGTAAAATTTCACGATTATATCTATATTTTTTTAGCGTGTGGTAACATTGTTTGTATCTTATTTTTTATTGTATGTATATATTTGTAGATTTTTGCGAAATTCAGTCAAAATCTTCAAATACATACAATAAAAAATAAGATACAAACAATGTTACCACACGCTAAAAAAATATGGATATAATCGTGAGATTTTACGAAATTATTATCTGATGTCGAATGCGCATTCTTTATTTCTTACTCCAGCTTGTTCCTATGGTAAGGCATTAAGTTAGAAGTAAGAAGTTGTCATAAACTACAAAAGTACTAGATAGTCGTGCCTATCATAATTTTCGGTGGAAACTAACTCTAACTCTAAGGCTGCGTTCGAAAACGTCACTCGAGTACTCTTCCTCTCTTTTTATCTCACTCTTGTATTTCGCTCACTCCAACGGTTATCGTCTAGTAGTGTGCACGCAGTGTGTGTTTCCGAACGCAGCATAATTGTCGTAAACACCCTCTGACTCTGGGGGAATTCTAGTTGTATCTAGTTACGCGTCGTAGTAAAACATGCGACGCGTGTCTACGTATGCCGTTGCATCGAAGATCGCGCGATCTTTGGAGCGACGAGTCGTACTTGGGAACATCGCTGCACGATAGATTCTATTGTTTCGTGTGTGTGTGTGTGTGTGTGTGTGTGTGTGTGTGTGTGTGTGTGTGTGTGTGTGTGTGTGTGTGTGTGTGTGTGTGTGTGTGTGTGTGTGTGTGTGTGTGTGTGTGTGTGTGTGTGTGTGTGTGTGTATACGTACGTATTTATACCAGAATGCTCTGTCGTTTGTTAACTTTGATAATAAATCGCGCGCTTTTTGCTCACAGGGCGCGCGGTTCCGAGACACGTCGCAGCAAATCCACAAACAATGGCAAGCCGATCCAGCTAGGGCATTTCCTACGGTGGGCAGTATCGCTGCAAGTTCACCCTCTCCCGCATCGGGGGACCTCTCCACGCCAAATTCCACGCCAAGCCCCAGCCCTAGTCCGACTAATCATCAAGTCACGGTGAGTACTTGTGAAATTAGATTAAGCCATATCGAGGAGTAGAATGACATCTTTTACTTTCCAGTCAATAATTATCTCGGTATTCGACGTGTTCGGCTTGTTAAAAGTAAAATGACCAAATTTCCCATCCTCAAATCCGAGACATTTCATAAATGTGTGAAGCGAGCAGGAGAGATTCAAAATTATATATGTATACAGGATATCCCAGTTCTCGCGACTTTAATTTATACCGACAGGTTCTCTGAGCAAATTAAAATTAATTCTTCCTCATCGAAAATATTGAGGTCATTATTCATGGCGACTTTTCAATTTTCAACGTAACATATTTTTCTCACTGAGGCGTAAAGTAAAATTCTGTTAAAATAAAATCCACTTGAAATTGGCAGAGAAAAACAATTTTTTTTATCCACTTGATCATTCGAAGTTTAGTTTGCAAAACTAACTTCTCTGTTTCGATCGTTTGTTGCAGTGTTTTCTCGCTGAGGAAAAAACAATTCTATGTTGTTCACAGAAATCGTTAGTATAAAGTCGCGAGGACTGGGACATCCTTTATATAAAACAATACTTTATTATGTAGCCATATGAAAAATAATATAACTACAATGAAAGCCTGTTACATACGATAAAAATGTAAACTATGGCTAAGATAAAACTGTTGTTACTCTTACTTAAAATTAAGAAGAGGGAACAGAGCTATTGTATTTACCAGGGCTTTGAATTTTCTTGAGAAGATCTTTCTTTGTCAGAAGCATTTTAAAAATCCTCTAAACCGTGGTAAACCGGAGTAGTTTAACCGAATCTTACACAAATCGGCGTCGCGAATAACATTCGAAAAAACCCAGGATAAAGAGTGAAGACGGGACTGTCCCGGGAAAAAGGAAATGTCCGGTTACCTTAGTTAAAAGCTGTCCGCTGATTAGAGACGCATTAAAACACTTTAATTGCACCGTACTTATACCGAACCCTTACATCGGAGCGTGGACAAGACTCGACAAATGCTTCGAGATAAAGTTGAAAGTCGCGGGGGAGAATTTTCCTCGCAATGTGTTTTATCCTTGCATGCATATTTCTCTCCCAATCTCGTGTTTACGTATCGCGAAATCACAAGCGGCACTTTGCACTCCCACGCGACCGCGGCGCTTTGTGCCTCACGAAAGGTAACGTGAAACAATTTCTTCCGACATGGCGTCGGGCGAAATGTTGAGCTGTAAGTTGCGCTGCGAGATTTAGACCGGCGACATTCTCCTCGAAAGGCCAATAAAGTTTTATCTCGCCCGTACGCGAAACTCGACGCGAGAGGCGCCGTTATACATATATATATTTTCGCCCTGTAAATCCCGTGCAAACGTGGCCCGGCACATAAGTGCGCTGAGCCGGATCCTGAAACTCTCCCGGGTATATCAACCATCATTCGAGATTCCGTCGTCCATGTAGGTCAGGGGTTGAGGCACCGCGCTCGGCTCACACAGAACACGATACACGCGTACGTATACGTGAACGAGGATATGTGCATCGAGCATGCATTCAATGTCGCACCCACCGATTTCGGCCGGCGATAACGCGAGTAGCATGATTCGGAATATTCGCGATAACAAAACTGCGCTTTCGGAGTAGAATTTGCTACATGGCAAATTTCAAGTAAACTCGTAAGATTTCTTTCCCACAAAACTTATGGTTTTTTAATTTATTTATACTAGTCAGTATGCAACGAAAAATGCCGGGATTTTCAAATGTAAAATCAAGGTAAATATTTTTAATCGATATCAGAGAAAGAATGTTTTCAGTTTGTCTTGCATATGTGTTTGTTTGTTTGTATGCTATCGAGAACTAAAAAATCGTTTGAGATATTGAAATATTGAAGTATAGAGATGGAACTTTTTGTAACTTGTTTAATGTATTATCTGCATGGTACATAAATTAATATAATTACTCGAATTTACCTCGAGATGATCTGGAAATTGGGTAATTTCATTAATTTCTTTTCTAAAAATCCGAGAATAATTACAAGGCGAAACTTTTGATCCAAAAGAACTAAGAAAAAAAATTTAAGAAATAAAAAATATTTAATCGATGAATACTATAATAATATATTTATTTACTTACTAAAAAATACAAAATATCTTTCAAATAAGAGAATATACATATTTTGAAAACCTTTAACTTTTTATGAAAGCGGTTGTCTGTTTTATTTAAATAAAAGGATTTAGATATAAGTATATGTTATTAGTACCTTAGAATATTTTTTACTTTTTACTTTTTGTATATTTACTTTTTGTATTTTTACTTTTTATATTTTTTACTTTTTGGATATTTTTTCTCAATATAGAAGTTGCGGTGTGAAAACCTAACTAATTGAGTCAATCATTATTTATTTCTCTACAGTTGTACAGTTACCTACCTAATTTGTCCTTTTTGCACCGATTTTTAAGATCGTTAGAACATTACAGTAAGATTGTATTGTATTGTATATAAATACATAGGAATATTGATTCAAAATTATTTTATATTTTCCAGAACTTTTGAGGTTCAAGGCGGTCTATTATAAATTCAACTCGCGTATTTTATCCCAACATAATAGAGCACTGCTGCCGAGAAAGCTGTGGAAGCTATTTACGATCTTTAAAAAAAAAAAAAAAGAAAAAATACACAGAGAAAAATCCGGAATGTATTTAGATTTTTACCCTCCTCGTTTCGTCGTGCATCGACTACGTCACGGCGCGCTGCTTGCGTCACTACATGGGTCGCTTGTACGTTACGAAGCGCATACAGGTTTACGCACAGCGCATTGTTCTCGCGGGACGATCGGTATGCGAGCCATACATCCAATTGAACCGGTCGAGCAGTCGTGTGGGGGGTGGTTACCCCCGACGACGGTGCCATTGTGCTCGCGCTGTGTCGCGCAGTGGGGTCTGATTCTGGGTCAGCGTGACTTAATGAGAAACTATCGGGCTTATATACGCGGCCACCGCGGCGCGCACTCGTTATGCAAAACTCGCACACAAATTGAATTCCTCCTGGCGACGCGAATTTGTCTTTTATGAAATTAACTCCGGTCCGTCGCCGGGCCGGGAGGATGTTTGACGTGACGTTTGGGGATTAAGGTCACCCTATTCGCGACCGGCAGATGAAGATCTCTTCTCCTGGCCACGCTGTTGGTAGAACGGGGAGACGACGAATACGTAATTGCGAAATTAGCGTCGGCGTTTGTTACGCCGGGACGGGATTGGAATTTATTTCCGCGCCAATCTGATTTCTATCCCTCCGCGCTCGCCGTGTCTCATTCGTTAACGGAGCGAGGACGGGAAAGAAGAAGTGAGTAAAATGAAGGAACGAATGGATGAGGAATGAAGGTGCGCGTTGCGATTACGGACTCTTAAAAATTCACTATGATGGCTGTCATCTTAGGAATGTGGCCGTTATTTGTACCCCGCGGGGGGTAACGCTTTGAGGAGGGCATGTATCATCAGAAGCTGAAAGAAGCGATCAATTTTCGAATTTTTCTTTCTAGGCTAGATTGTTAAATGTAAGGAATCGGAAGATTTCTGCAAGTGAAAGTACACATTTGGAATTATTGTTTAGAATTCTGTTCTTTAATTTTAATCTGGCATATATTGAGATCTTTTTCATTCACATCCAGTTTTTAATTTTAAATTACCCGCAAACTAATGGAATGAGGACTTTCGGTTTACGCCTTAAAAAAGTATAGTTGTGGAAATCTGAGTAATAGAGTTACATATGTGTACTTTCATTTGCAGAGATCCGCAATTTCTTACGTTTGACGGCCTTACAGAGGATAGCTCGCAAATTGACCGTTCCCTTTAGCGTCTTAAAGTGTACGTCCCCTTAAGCCATTTTACCCGATAGATTTAGAGCCCGTCGGAGCTCGAATGAAGACAACCGCATTGTCGAGCGATCTTCTATTCGGCGCAATACCACAGAATGAAATAGCAACCTCAAATAACGCATCCTGGCAGATTCCGTTAACGTAGCCACAATTGCGGTGATATCGCAAGCGCGCGTGTTTACCTCGTCGCCGAGCTCGGAGGCAACCTTCGGAAAAATAACGAGACGTCCGTCGCTTGGGCTATAAATTAACATTCCAAGGACCACGTCTGCGCGTAGATTTTATCGCACCCGATAAAACGTGACCGCGCTCGCGCCCGTGTCGCAATATGCCGCGCGCTAATCTTGTTTTCAGCCGATTTACAAATTCACCTTTGGGGAAAGGTCGCAGCTGATACATGTCGGCTGAATCGACGCGGTGACATCAACGATGTGTGCGCATCACTCGGGAAGCCGCTTATTCCATTTTTACGCCGCCGTCCTAATTAGGTAATTACGACCCTGAATCAGTATCGCGGTCAGTAGACCTCAGGCGGATATGATGCATTATGATACATCTCGTCTCGAATAGAAGAGAGAGTCATAATTGCAAATGGAAGCGGCAATAGCGGGGATAAGGAAACATTCCTCATTCCTTAATTGGAATTCGTGCGCGAAATAACGAAACGGATCCGCGAACGCGACAAAAATTCTCGAAGATATGGATTTAACACGATGACTCCGCATTGACGAAGTAGATAGCCGGATATTGCAATGATTTGTCAAAGTGAATGTAAGAGATTTCAAGGTCATCTTAAATTTTTGTATAGGATGATCATGGGGTGATATGATTCATATGGTTTTCCTAACACAAATCAAATTATTCTGCGTATAAAAACGCTGTGGTAAAGTCAGCAAAAAGTGAATACTTTCTGAGATGTTTTTCACTTTGTTCTGACGCTTTTTAGTACAAAAGATATGAAATATTTTAAAAAATATTAATTTCTCGAGGATCTCACTTTGGTACTTATGTGGTAGAATTGTAGCAGTAAAATAAATATACATTTACGATATATTATATAAAATAAGAATTTCCGTTTACACGTCACTCTCTGCTGAAAATGCGACGCGCGATCGAGTTTTGCGGCGCAATCGAATTATCGGGCGCAGCTCAATTG